AATAACAAGTGAAATATCCACTAAAGCAAAGCTTAAGTATATAACACCAACACTTTCTTGTGCCGCCATTACTGCTGCACGGTACTCGGCCTCTGCTGTTGATAGGGAGACTGTCGGTTGTCTTTTGCTATACCATGATATTGCGGCCGATCCAAACTTGAACACATACCCAGTAGTGGACCTTCTCGTATCACGACATCCGGCATAGTCCGCGTCGCAATAGCCAATAATTTTGAAATCTTTATTCCTTTGATAATAAATTCCGTAATCGATTGATCCTTTTACATACCTTAGTATGCGCCGGACTAACTCGAGGTGTGGCTTCTTTGGTTTCTCCATGAATTGACTTGCAATCCCCACTGCATATGAAATGTCTGGCCGTGTTAGGGTTAGGTAGATTAGGCTTCCGGCCAGCTGCTTGTACATAGTTGCATCCTCCAAGTCTTTGTCATCTTGAGCACATATCTTGGCGTTTGCTTCAATTGGAGTCGATAAAGGCTTGCACTCAATCATGCTGAATTTCCTCGATAAATCTTTTGCATATTTTGACTAGCACAATAGAAGACCGTCACCTACTTCTTTTAGCTCAAGCCCCAAAAAATGCTTAAGTTCTCCAAGTTCTTTCATTTGGAATCTCACCAATAAATTCTTCCTTGTTTGTTGGATTTCTTCTTCATCGTCTCCAGTGATGATGATATCATCCATATATACTAGCATTATTGCTAGTTTTCTTTCTCGTTTCTCGACGAAGAGGTTCGAGTCTGCTGGTGCAACAGAGTATCCACACTGAATCAAGAATTCAACGATCTTACTGTACCATGCTCGTGGCGCTTGCTTTAACCCGTATAGGGCCTTCTTTCGTTTGCACACATAGCCTAGATTCTCCTTATCCTCGAACCCGTATACAAATTTATTTTGGTATAATATTAATTTCTTTTTATTTTATTTCATAATATTTTTCTCTTACAAAATTTCTCCTAATCTATGCTAATATCGGATGCTATGTGATTTGTTTTTATGTCAAATGCTATAATTTTAATAATAAGTTAGAACCCATGTGTTGCATGAAGTTTATACAAAAAAAAAGTTATGTGTATACAATAACAAAATATATAAGAAGAATAATAAATAGAACAATTTTAATTATATATGTATATACCAATCATAAATAAACAAATTTTAATTTTATATATAGCAATATATATCAAAATTGTATTAATTAGATTTATTATATACAAAAAGTAAATGACCAAATTATCAATTCTTTTAAAAAAAAAAATGATGACGAAATACATTTACAATAACTAATTAATATCTCAAAGAAATAAGGACGAAAAATGAATAGATTTAACTAATATTGATTCTAATGACTAAAAATTAATTAAATATATTAGTTAGCTATTGATATGAAAAATGAAGCTAAATTCTTTCGACCCTTACGATTATAACACGTAAGATTTGGAGATACCAAAAAACAAAAAAATGTCACGTACCAACACAAAAAAGTTATAAATCTATATCTATATGCATATAAAAAGGTTTTGTATTTATTTGAAACTAATACAACATTCGCGTATTACACTGGTGCTTGTTAAAAAATTATTTTTAAATTTTAAAATTAATGAGAAAATTATATTAAATTTAGTTTATTTTTTAAAAAAATATATATTACTATATATTTTAGAATGATATGTGTTACTTATGACTTACTTGAAATATAAATAAATTAGTTGATAAAAAAATATATTTTTCTAATTAATAATAAAAATAATTTTATTATTTTTATAAAGATAAATATAAATTAGTTTTTTATACATACAATATGGATGTTAAATCGAAACTCATCAAAAGAAGATTAATTTGATATATTACATATGTAGAACTGATAAAAAATACAAAAGTTATTAACTTTTAAAATACATATACAATTTAATAGTTATAATAAGTAATGATATTAAAATGCAGTTAATGCATGTAACATGACCATAAATAATCAACATATTTATGGTAATCCGAACCTAATTATTTTTGGTTTGGAATTAAATTAAAATTTACTAAGTCTAATAACGAAGCATGTAATTTTGCCACATAGGATTCCGAAGCACCAGAAACAGCCACGTAGGCTCAGCGTGTTCTGGATTAATATATAGGGGGGATTAAAACTAAAATACCACCTAAAAGTTTTGGAATTACTAAACTTGATAACTTTTTTTCTGAAATTTTTAAAAAATCCCGCCTCCATAAATTAATTAATCAATTTATGGTATAAGATTAGAAAAATTAATAAATTCAGTCTTGGTATAAAGTGGGTGATTTTCTTTGATTATCACAACCATTTTTATTTTTGGTAGAAAGTTGTTCTTATTAATAAATGTCTGAATTTATAGTATAAAATTGGCGATTTTGTTTTGTTATAAAATATTTGAATTTAAATGGTATGAATCCTATTTAGTAATCAATGGTATGAATTTTATTTGGTATGAGTATGAAAGTCTTATTGTAGGTTAATTTGTATAAAATAAACGTGATATGATTTTAAATTTTAGCATATTACCATAATAACTTGGCACAAGATGTTGATGATAATTTGGCAAATTGACATGTAATATATCATATTGAAAATCACAAATATCTTTGAACAAGTATTAGTTAATAAAATTTAAAATTTATGATTTTTTTTTTC